AGACCAGAACTTGGCTGGAGATCCTGGCTAGAGATCCTGGCTAGGCTGCTGATCAACTGAACACTGTCTCCGTGTCATTCCTTCTTCGCCGACTCCGTCTACACCTTTGGGGACCCCTGGACCTGCTGGGGCTGGACCCCAGCACCTCTGGCCATCACCACACTGTTGTCTGTATCTATGGGTTATACATATATGCTCTTTGGCTAATCCCTTCACCTTCTTTCATCCAGCCTTCCCCAACCCCCAACAGCTGTCAGTCTGTTTCATGTATCCATACCTCTGTTTCTATTTTATAAAGCTATGAATTTAAATAAAAGTAGAAAATATTTCTTTTGCTGTAGGAGAATGAGAATAAACTTCTCAGAGTTTCATTTGTTAGGAATTATGATCATATTTTCTATCCAACTGCAGAGATTACACTTATTTTTAAAAGTTGTCTTATGTTTGGTATTTTACAACTAACTATAGACAACAAAATTGAGCCAGTTTTTTTTCGTTGTTTTTTTACTGTTTGGTTTCTTGATTAATAGCCCATTAGTTCTGTGAATGAAGCAACTAAATTTTTACTTATTTGTTTAATTTTGTCTCTTGTGTTATAGTTCTGGCTCGGTACAGATTGTACAAAATTATCAGATGCTTTTCTTAAAGAAATTTTAATTCTTTATCTTTTCTTTCATATGATTTGAGGTTTTTTTCATAAAAATTCCTAAGTATCAGTCTTTGACTTAAGATGCTCAGGGGATCTTAGGGGAGCTTATTATCATCATAATTATCATGAGCTGTTTGGGGGTGACTACATAGTGACAATGCATTACCCCCACTATTAACTTACCAATTTAGGTTCTCATTCTGAAACTTGATAGTAAGTAAGCAGCATTCAGCCACAGAACAGTGTTCCTTATAATGTAGTTTATAGATTATTTGTATAAGAATCACCTAGAGAAGGGCTTCTGAAACCATAATGTGTATATGACTCACCTGAGGTTCTTCATAAAATGCATTTTCTGATTCTGAAGTGGAACCTGAGATTCTAAGTCTACTAAGCTTCCAGGTGATATCCATGCTGCTGGTCTATAGACTTAATTGTTAATAGCAAGTACTGAGGATACTTGTTAAAATATTAGTCATATGTCCCATCCTATGGAATCACAATTTGTGTAACTGGAGTCTGGGAATATGCATTTTAATGAGATATTTACTTATACTAAAGATTAAGAATTGTTATATAATTAAATCGTTTTTCTTCTTTTAAAAATATTTTTATTGATTTTAGAGAGGAAAGGAGAAGAAGAGAGAGATAGAAACATCAGTAATGAGAGACAATCATCGATCGGCTGCCTCCTGCACTCCCTTCCTGGGGATCGAGCCCACAACCAGGGCATGTGCTCTTGACACTCTCTCCACTGAGCCAAACCAACTAGGGCCCTGTTGTCCTTTTTAAGAATTATTAAAGAGCATGAGTAGGTCCAACTAGAAAGAGTGATGATGCTCTGAAGAGAAGACTCTGTTAAATGTCCAGATTTCATGTATAGAAGTTATGGTTGCCCTGGCTATGGAACAGGTTCCCAGAGTTGGCCAGAAAGTCCATTGTGAAAATGAGGCAGAACAAACAAACAAAAGGGAATAAGTACAGTGTATCTCTGACCTTATAAATTTTCTTATATTACTTAGATGCCAAGCACCTGAATAAAAAGTAGATAATTTATCATCTTAAGTAGACAAACTTTCTGACAACTCTGAAATTTATGTTTTAAATCTACCTAATTTGAACTGAACATTACTAAAAATAACAACAAGCAAACAGCGTAGCTTGATAGGAAGATGGTAATTTTACAATCAAACAAGAATAGATTTAAATTCCAGTTTTGCCACTTATTAGCTGTCAGTCCTAGACAGGTAAAAATAAATTTTTTTTTACCTTAGTCTTCCTCTTCGTAAAACAGAAGTATACATCTGACTTGTAGTGCTGTTTTCAGAATTAGAAATAATATTAGTGCCTAGGTTAGATACTTATTTAATAGTGGGTATTATCATTATGGTTTTTAACATTATACTGTTATTTATTCTATACCCTCACTAATAACTAAATGCTACTTGAGTATATAGTAAATTTTATTGTTTATGTAGCTATCACTACATAGTAAGTTTAAGGAAAATTAATGCTATCATGCTGACCAGACATAAAGTTAGATATTTTAATTGTAATTTTCTTTCTTTCAGAATTACTTACTGTCATCTACCTTTCCAGAGTAAATGGCTCTATGTTGGAACAGAAAGAGGAAATACACATATTGTAAATATTGAATCTTTCATTCTTTCTGGATATGTCATCATGTGGAACAAGGCAATTGAACTGTAAGTTTGAACTTGAATATCACTTTATTGACCTTAAATATTTCATATGGTTATGTAACATATAAAATTGTAGTTATTTGAAACATTATGGCTAATTTATGATTAATATGAGTGAACAGTTCAGCCAAAATAATTAGAAAACATAAAGGCTTTTAAAAATAGATATTGTAGTACTAACATATGATAATTTTAGAATTTCCAAACACTGCAGGTAATTAACAGTATGTATGCAAAATTTGGTGATAAAATATTAATTCTAAAAGTTGCACATGGAAGTAATTCCATTCCTTATAGTCAACCTTAGTATAGCCACTTCCATTGATAATGACTAGTGGATTATGGTCACATTTAGTTTTATGGAAAAATAATCATCAATTATCATACAGGGTGGGGCAAAAGTAGGTTTACAGTTGCAAGTACATGAGTTTATTCTTGTATTATTAATTTCTAGAGGCCCGGTGCACAGATTTGTGCATTGGTGGGCTCCTCGGCATGGCCCGTGGGGATTGGGCCAAAACAGAAAGTCGAATGCCGCCTGCCACTCATCCCAGTCCCACTGCGCCTGCGGTGGGCTTGCGCCCAGTCAGCCCTGATTGGGAGAGGCTTGTACCACCACAGCAGCACTCACCAGCCATGAGCCTTGCATCTAGCGCCTGTCCTAAGGGAGGTGGGGCGAGGTGTAGGACGTGATTGGCCCTCCGGGCAGGCAGGCCGTGGGATGCCCTTGCCAGCCTGGGATAAGGATCTGTCCTGCTGACATTTGCGCCTGTTGTCGGGAGCCACCTGGCAGCTGCTTTTATATAGTTTCTTCCTTGTGAAGCATCTAGGGAGGGGAGGCAGCTGTGGTGCCCGAGGCCGACTCCCAGGAGGCCGGAGGCACTGTTAGGGATCATGCTGGCGGCGCTGGTCCATTGGTGCCTGGCCCATTCTCCAGAGATTGGACCTGCAAGGACTACTGAGGGAGTGAGTGGCTGCTGTTGGGGGGGTAGGTCCCCAGGACAGGTTGGTCAGCTGAGCAGCACTCCTGCTGTGGGACTGACCACCAGGAAGCAGCTCCTGCATTGAGCGGCTGCCCCCTGGTGGTCAGTGAGCATCATAGCGGGAGCGTGTCATAGTTTATTTTATATAGATTATATCACTTTCCATGCGAACAACTGTAAACCTCCTTTTGCTCCACCCTGTACTTTTTAAAAAAAATCCTACCCAAGGATATGTTTTACAAGGGGAGGGGAGGGGAGGGGAGGGGAGAGAGAGAGGAGAGAGAGAGAGAGAGAAAGAAACATTGATGTGAGAGAGAAACATCAATCAGTTGCCTCCCAAATGTACCCTGACTAGGGATTGAACCTGCAACCTAGCTATGTGCCAAGACCAGGAATCGAACCCCAACCAACTGAGCCACCTGGCAGGGTGCCACCCTGTATTTTTTAATGCTGGAGTTTATTCTTCCTTTGCCTTAACATATTGTTATAGGTTCAAGGGAGAATAAATTTATTAATATTTTTATGTTGTTATGTATACAGCTATGTGGGTATATGGTTGATGGCAATTACCACTTTGACTTTGACATTGATATTTACATTTCTGCATATATAAAATGTGAAATCCCCCATATCTGAAATTGCATGGAATTCTAAGCCATCTATTTGTAGTATGTACACAAATAATTTTCCTGGTTAATCAGAAAAACAAATTTTCTTTAATAAATGTTTATGTTCTATACATATTAGTTTCTTAATAAGATAAAGTTTTTACTTGAGGCTGGCTCAAGTAGGGTGGAGAAAATTAGGTTTACAGTTGTGAGTGCACAAAACAAGTTTATTCTTATATTATTATTTATTATTATTAGTGAGACCATGAGAATAGATGAGATTATGCATAAAGAGTACATAGGGAAGAGGTAGTAAACTAGTAGACAGTGAACCAATTCACAGATATGTTTGGCTATCAGAGTATTTAAACATATCTGAATTATTAGTTTCTAATATTTAAAAATTGGTAGAGTAGAAATAAAAATTTAGATTTTCAGCTTTCATGAAAAACATTCATAATGAGACAATCATAGTCCAGTATTCTTGCATGGTAGTAAGTAATCAACTGGAAATGAGTAACAACTATCCTTTTGTAGGTGGGTAATGTGCTATCCAGTTTAGCACAGCTTTTATTCAGCCTATTTAACTTGTTTGCAATATCTGCCTTGTTCCCCTGGGCCCTTGAATTCATGACCACATCTATACTAATAATATACAAATATGTAAATTGACTATCCCTCCATGATGCCCACAGCCAATCAGGAGTGAATATGCAAATTAACCCGACAAAGATGGTGGGCCTGTGGGCAGTGCGCAAGTGTGCAGGCACCCAGTGGCTGGGGGCAGGGTGGGACGCCCGCCTTCTCACCGTGTAGCCAGAACTACGCTGCGGGCATCCTTGGGAGCCTGCTCACTCTGAGCCTGTGGCCAGCATGTGCGCGCACGGGTGCCGAGTGGTTGGGGTCCCGGGGATGCCACTGGAGTGTCTGTCCTGTCAGCCTGGCCTGGGGGCAGCTGGAGTTCCCAGTCCTTTTGGTTTCTGCAGTCCCTGGACTGGAAGCGGAAATCAAGAGTGCGGGAAGCACCAGGAATGCTCGGAATCATAGTTCTGGCGGCAGACGCATTGCGAGATCTCCTAGACCAGTGGTCGGCAAACTGTGGCTTGCGAGCTACATGCAGCTCTTTGGCCCCTTGAGTGTGGCTCCTCCACAAAATACCGACTTCTGCGCATGGGCCACGAAGTTTCAATCTCACTGTACATGGGCGCCCGCATGTGGTATTTTGTGGAAGAGCCATACTCAAGGGCCAAAAAGCCACATGTGGCTTGCGAGCCACAGTTTGCCAACCACTGTCCTAGACACTAGAGCAAAGTGAGCCTGGAGCAAGTTACTGTTGTGGGTCGGGGATGGTGGGAAAGCAAAGGTGAGAGACATAAGTAAAGTCAGAGTGTTGAGGAAAAATTAAAAGGAAGATATCCTGCAACTTCTAGGAAATCTCCATTAATGGAGCATAGGAAAAAAAAAGACCTCTATTATTCTGTGAGCACTAAACCAAACTGGGTTGGGGTCTCAGACAATTCGCTCATAGGATTGCAAAGACAGACATAAACTCCTGGATTGGAGAAGGCTCCCCTGATTGGAAAGGGTGCAGATCAGGCTGAGGGACCCACTCCCCATGCACGAATTTTGTGCACCAGTCCCCTAGTCTAATATGGGAATAGATGGCAGTCTAGGACAGAATACAAAGGAATACCAATATTTAAGATATAAAAACAAAGTCCACAAAGGAAACTATCAGGAACCATTGGGGTGAGTGGGAGGGTAAGAAATAAATAGGGATACTTAGAATAATTACTGGGCATGATTTAGATAGACATTTATGAATTTAAAGTTTATTGATAATTCTATCTAAAGTATTTTTATGGGATTTATAGAATCTGGAGTATACAGATGCTTTTTTAAGAAGTCAATTTCTAATGGCCATTTTTTCCCTTTGATGGGAAAAAATACCTTTGATATTTTCTAAGTTTTATTTTTTCACAATAAATTGTATTTCTTTTATACTTAGAAAAAGTCATTACAAGTAGTGGGGGCACCCGGCGCTGGCAGTCGGTGTGAGCAGTGGCTCCGGTGTCAGAAGCAGGTGTGAGTGCCAGGCAGGACTGCGGCACGCAGGAGCAAAGAACTTTCAGTAACCATCACTCACCCAGATGACAGCGACCAGAGCCCTGCCCTGGTCTGGCGTCCCCACTCACCTGCTCCACCATCCGGTCAGGGTCGATGCCCACCATGTTCCACACACACCCCCTGGTGGTCAACACACATCACAGCGACCAGTTTTTTGATTGTTCCAATCGTTCTGCTGTTTGGTCTGTTTGCATATTAGCCTTTTATTATATAGGCTAATATATCTGCTAATAGCCCTATAAGCTCTTTATAAAGCCCTGTTTAATTTCTTCCTGCATATATTCTAGAATGCAAATAGTAACTCTTACTTAGTTATTCCAGTGATTTATTTACACCAGTCATAATGCATACTATTTATTGGGTACTTACTATGTTTTGACATTATATTAGGTGCTATACATATATTCTAATCCTCACAATTATTCAGTTGGATTAGTACTACTACCTCCATTTTTAGATGAGAAAAATTAGGATAAAACCACTAACAAAATATCTATTCCTTTTAGTCACTCTGGGGAGTCAGTATCTGGTGAACTTGGAGATACTTAAGAAATAAATTACATGCCCTGGCCGGTTTGGCTCAGTGGATAGAGCGTTGGCCTGCGGACTCAAGGGTTGCAGGTTCGATTCTGGTCAATGGCGTGTACCTTTGCTGCGAGCACATCCCCAGTGGGGGGGGTATGCAGGAGGCAGCTGATCGATGTTTCTCTCTCATCGATATTTCTGACTCTCTATTCCTCTCCCTTCCTCTATGTAAAAAATCAATAAAATGTAAAAAAAAAAAGAAATTACAGCTATATCAGTATAATCATAATAGAATTGATCTGGCACACTTAGTTCATTGAAGAAAGGATGTGGAAAAGTGAGCAATAATCTGTGGTCATTATCAGCTCATGTCATATTTTACCATGACATAATCACATTCAACAATGATCTAAGTTAAAGTAGGAAATATAAAATAAATATGCCAGATATCATAGTAGAATAAATTTAAAGTCATATTGACAGAGCATAGAACTCTTTAATAATATGCTCTTAGAGACTCATAATGATCTGTTATTGATTACCCTAGGTAGCCAGATAAATGAGTCATAACCATGAACTTGGTTTTCCTTGTTGGCCAGTTTTCTGTATGCTAGCTATCACTAGAAAGAGTTCACTTATAAATCTGTATTTTTTGTAGGAGATTTTATGTCAAAAGAAAATTTTAAATCAGGTATGTACTTTGCACTTTGGTTGAAGCAGGTTTATAGCATCAGCCTTGTGGCTTTGCAAGTTGTTCTTTGTATAGGTAAAAGTTTAATTTCAAACTTTCAGAGGCCCAGATTTGGTAACAAATACATAAGATAATACAGAATCCCATTGTTTTGTGGGTGTATGTTCTTAAACCTGATTTTTTTAAAAAAAACAAATGCCTCCTTTAATAGAGTAAGTAGGAGAGAGAAAAGTAATCTTAAAGTAAAACAATCCAAAAGTTAAGTGAATCTAAGCTAAACTCTAGAATATTAAGAGTGTATTCCAGTATAATCTTAATTTTTTTTCCAGTTTCTAACAGTATGGTGTTTTAATGTTTATTTTTTAATTACTGTTTTAAATTGATTTAACAGATCCACAAAGACTCATCCAGGTCCAGTTGTACATTTAAGTGATAGCCCAAGAGATGAAGGGAAAGTGAGTATTACAGTATTATTCTCGCATTTATTTTCCTCATTCTTAAATAAAGATATTACTTGCTATTATTTAATATCTAACATCTCTAGCACAGTTCATGGCATTCACTTTAATTTAAAATTAAAATATGTTGATTGAAATGTTTAATAAACTAAGAATGACAAAGGTTTCATCAGAGAAGCGAAAAATATAACAGAGAATAAAATAACTGTAAATAGATGAAGAGAGAAATAGTGATCTGGAAGTTAGAAGAAAATATCTAGACTAAAGCATGGTGAGATAAAAGGATGAAGAGCATTTGGGACATAGTAAAAATGTGTAATATCTGTGTAATTACAGTCACAGAAGAAAAGACATAATGCGATAGCAGCAATATATGAAGAGTGAATGAATGATTTTCTAAAACTAATGACAGATATTGAAATCTAAGATGTACTATAGACATAAAGCAGGCTTACCAAAATGTGAAGTTCACATATGCATATCAAAGACAAAGAGAAAAGTCTTAAAAGAAGTCACAGTATAGAAAAACATAAAAAGCAGACTAACAGCAGGGATCTCAACAGAAAAATTGGAAATGAGGACAAATGAGTGATAATATCAAGGTTCTGGGGAAAAAAGCAACTGCTTACACAGAATTCTATACTCTACCAAAAAATTATTAACAACATATGATGATATTATTGCAA